CGCTTCATTTTCCTATCACTCGTGAGATCATGAGATACTTAAACTCATTTGCTTGGAGCAGCAATTCACCCCTAACCCAGAGGGAGCAATCCACGGGTACAGGGCAGAAAAATGTAAACTCAGATTTGGAGGTTCTGACTCTCATCCCAGCTGCTTCACACTAAGCTGCAAACTGCCCCAGTGCACACTGAAGGTCCTGGTCTGATGACACCCTCCTCACCCCAGATGCCCCTCAAGATTGCTCCCATGCATATCACAAACAGGAACAGAGACTTGGGCCAACCTTGTCAGTGTACACCACCCATGGGAAAGGTGTTTGACCTTGTGCTGATACAGACACTGCTCTCACTTTAGCTGTACAAGGACTGCATGGCTCATTGTTCGTCCTTTGTAGAGCATCCTTGGTTTTCAGTACATGGTATCCTGACACTGATGCAAAACTAATGACAACATTAAAACAAAAAGGGTTCATCATCTGAGTACATTCATGGCAGTCTGACCATTACATTTGGTGCTTCTAGATACCAATGGATATTTATGCCGATGGTGGAATTATCACTGAGAGTGTTGACAGCCATACTAGCAGCTCTGAGAGGCGCTTATTCACACTGTTAACAGTGTGGTTTTCAACAAGTATAATACTGACTGTGATTACTATCTCAGCTTAGCATGTCAGCATGCTGTCAATTGCTTAGTAGCATTAAACACAAGGTAAAACCGAAGCTGATGTAATTTATTTTATGTAGAGATCCAGCCCTCAGGGTTTGGTTGTCATGGATAAAGTGACCATGGGTATATTTTTGTCACATATTTTTTCTGCTTGTTTTCGCCTCTTTCACTGACTCTTTTGTTATGTCATATCCTTATTTTCTCTTTCTTGTTCTGCACTTTACAGTTACTAACTCAGATCTACCTGTTTACCTAACCTTTCACCATTCCCCTTTTTTCTGATTTGGCCTGCATAACCTCCATGAAAGGTTCAACTTTTATTTGTTGTCTCTGAGTTAAGCAGTTGAACTCTGACTGTTTACTAACTTGTGACAGTTTTGGCCTGATGGTGGCAGCAGGGTCAGGTCAGGGCTCTGGATTCACTGGAACTCACTCTCTGGGAACCATAAGCACCCATCCACATGTCATCCCAACCAGCCAAGTAGTTGTTGACATATCTCATCACTAACCACAAGCCATCACACATGATGTTAACAAATTTGGTATGGTAAGGTATGGTATGGTGTGGTATGGTGTGGTATGGTATGGTATGTTATGGTATGGTATGGTATGGTATGGTGTGGTATGGTGTGGTATGGTAACTCCACCATCATACAAAAATTTCTACCCGTACCTTAAAATGCCAGATTTCATGGTCTGGCTGTCATGAATGTTCAAAATGCGTTCATAGGCCTCAGAAGATGAAACCATTTGATTTAAATGATGTCATTACAATGGTGTGTATTGGCTACTTTCCCATGTAATTTGGTCTTGATCTTTGCCTTTAATTAAGGAAAGAGTGACAGATTTTATTATGTGCCGAGATTAGTGTTTGGAACACAGATTTAGATTCATTCTTTTCATTTTATTTGTCTCCTTCAGCTTTCTCCCAGGTCCATACACGATGGATTTTTTCTTACCGAATATTGTCGCTGGGCGCTTTGCCGATCTTCCTGATGGCTCCACACTCTTGCTTGTGTTCATCCCAGCATGCAGTCTGGCAGGTGCGGTCACAGTAGTGGGCAAATTTACACTGAGCGCAGCGGTGCAGTTTAGCCTGACGCCGGAAACAGCTGTGGCACACCTGCATGGCCAAACTGAGAGAGAAACATGGACAGAAAAACATGTCTCTTGTACAATATCAACAAATACGGAATACAGTCTTCTAAAGAAAGGACTTGTTGCAGTGCTGTTTTATTGGATTGCATGCCGATGTACACACTGCATATCAAACCTGGACCTGAGTTAAAATGTAACAAAAGTTTCAATAAATGTGTTTGGCCACTGTGAATATAAAGAAAGGAGTAGAATTTCTTTATATATATATACAGTCATGGAAAAAAAATTATTAGACCACCATTGGTTTCTTCAATTTCTTGTTCATTTTAATGCCTGGTACCACTAAAGGTATATTACCTGAAGAATATAATGAACATGACAAAAAATGCATTACATAATGCTTTATGTCCTATTTGACATGCTTAAGCTTAATTGTATTCCCTGTAGGGTATATAAGAGGTCATTTCATGTCATAAGCACCACAGCACGTGTAAAGGCCTGGAGAGGTTTCCTGCTTACATTTAAGCACAAGTCAGAAGTTGTCAGCTCTCACATCATGTCTTAAACAAAACAATTATGTGAAGCCACAAAGGCAGCCATCTTGGCACTGTTGGAAATTGGCATGAGTGAGAGACAGGTAGCAAAAAAAAACTGAAGATCTCCAAGACAGCCGTTCATCACACCAAGAAAAAACAAGCCCAACATGGTACTACCAATTTGCTAGCTGGTCATGACAGGAAGCATCTTTCTGCCCCATGATATGACCGTGCACTCATCCATTCCTGTGTCAGGAGTCGTCGTCAGACCTCCAGGGACCTTAAAAATGAGTGGGCACTGTGGAGAAATGTGACTTGTTCAGCAAGGACAGTTCGAAACCGACTTCTTGAAGCTGGTCTGAAGTCACACAGGGCACGGAAGAAGCCCTTCGTCAACCAAAGACAGAGGAAAGCCCAGTTACTCTTTGCTGGGGATCACAAGGATTGGACTGTTGATGATTTGGCTAAGGTTCTCTTCAGTGATGAATCCAATTTTCAGTTGATGCCCACTCCAGCCAGCTTGCTGGTTAGGAGGAAGCCTGGAGAAACCTACAAACCAGACTGTCTTGCCCCTACAGTAAAACATGGGGGTGGATCAGTGACCATCTGGGGTTGTTTCAGTATGGGTGGAACAGGGAAAATGCAATTTGAACCAGGTCATGTACAGGACTACTCTTGAAAACAGTCTTCTTCCATCAGCTGGAAAACTCTTTCCTGCCTCCAATGACTGGATTTTCCAACAAGACAATGTCTCTTACCACACGGCAAGGTCAGTTAAAGAACCAGAACATTGGAACCATGCCTTGGCCTTGTCAATCACCAGATCTAAATCCAATTGAAAATCTGTAGAAAATCATCAAATGCAAAATGAAGAACTACAAGCCCAAAAACAAAACAAATTTGTTTGAATTTGTGCAACAGGAATGGGCTGCTGTGACAGTAGAACAATGTCAGAAGCTGGCAGAGAGCATGCCAAGATGCATGGCTGCAGTCATCAAAAACAATGGTTATGCAATCAAGTACTAACTCCTGTGTGTATCATGTGACTAAAACAGACAGAAAAGAAAACATGGAATGCCTAAAAGCACTATTTTGGCAGTACAATGCCATAGCTATTGATGGAAGAACTTAAGTGATTTTGGTTCTTATCAAGAAAACCATGGAAAATGGCGAGATACCAGCTCTTATATTAAAATCTTATGTTGTTATCATTATATTTGTCCAAACAAATGTACCTTTAGTTGTACCAGGCATTAAAATGAACAAGAAATTGAAGAAAACAAGGGTGGTCTGATCATTTTTTCCATGACTGTATACGTAATTCTTTGTTTACATACAGTATTTTACACATTATGGGCAATAATTTTTCAATCTTTGTTTCCCTCAGGTGTGAGGTCAGCTTTTTCTCTCTTATATATTTAACTCTCTGAACTTCAAGACATTTCCTCCTCTACCACATGTTTCCTCACTGTGGGCTCATTTCCACTGCAGTATGAAGTCCTGCTGCTCTATGGAAACACAACATCCATGACTAGAAGAAACTAGGGCCCAATCCCAAACCGCCCCCTACGCACTTCCACTCCACTACCGAGTGTCACTCCAAATTGAGTTACACATACAGCTATGAAGAGCACTCCTGATAAAGGAGGAGGGTATAAAAAAGAAGCCAAGCAATGGGATGCCCTCGCCACCTCACATCACCGTGGCAACGGTCAGATGTGTTGCTTGTGCCGTTGGTGTAATGCTGCTTCACCGGCTCATAGGAGCAAGAATGACTGCTCGCAGGTGCCAAAGGCGAGTTTAGCGTATCACAGCATTGTTGCATGACCAAGAGGTAAGTACTGCATTGCAGTATGTTATTGAGCAAGCCTGATAAATACTTTAGCGACACGTAGTATTTAACTTACATGTGTAGTAATTTGAGATACGTATTCTACTGTTTTCTGGAGTGGGCCATAATAATCATAGTTAAAACAGAACTNTGTGTCAACTTGTGTGCATGTTATCAGGCCAAAATCACCAGGGTATGTAAACGTTTGATCAGGGTCATGTGGGTAGTTTCTGTTGTCATGATTTAAAAAGAGTAAACACAGTTGTTTGACAATAAATGGCTTCACCCAACCACTAACCATGAGTGGGAAAAAACGTTTTTTTCTTATCATTTATATTCTCTGAAAAATGGCCAAAAAAAAATCGCAAATTCTGCCAGCGTATGTAAACTTATGAACACAGCTGTATATATCATCATTACATATCACTAACTCTGTGTTTTCCCCGAGATCCTGTGTTTGCTCTCTCTGCGGATGTCTCTGGATCTGAAGCTTCATGTCTCTGATCTGCAGTCGCTGGCCTCACCCACCTCCAAAATATTTATTGTTCTGTTCTATTGGTTGCTCTCCATCTGCTATCCTGCTATCCCCACCTTCTCATCCTCACTTTCACCCCAACCGGTTGGGGCAGATGGCTGCCTTCCCTGAGCCTGCTTCCCACTTTTTGTTTTTTGTTTCTTCCCAATCATTGCCGACCGCTTGCTCAGAGGGAATCCAAGGGCAACGTTGGATTGTTGGGTTCTCTGTTCAAAATTAATGTTAAGCGCTGTGAGATGAGATATGTTGTGAATTTGCACTATATCATAAAAATCGAACTGAATTGGATTAATATGTCCCCCCCAGGACAGAGGGCTCTGTTAGCACTCACGTGTATCCCTCCACCATCCTGCGGGCGTAGTCTGCAGCCTCAGAGAAGACCTTCATGTATGACAGCACCTCACTGACAACACTGAGCACACGCAGCTTACAGAGGTGAGTGTCAGCCAGGACGTTCTCCTGCTTCTCCAGACACTCGTGACACAACTTCAACACCTGAAAGAGAACAGAAAAGATACTCGCTGGACAGAAGGAGTGAAGCAACTACAGCAAAAGAAAACGAGAGAGAAAAAGTGAAGAGAAGCTGACAGCAGTGTGGCGTACCTCGTGGTAATTCCCCTCAATACGGGACTTCTCAATCTTCTGCAGACACTCTTCACTGAAGGCTGTCACCTGTTTCACTGTATCGGCTGAGGGCTGACAGAGACACAATGTCAATGGAAACAATAATAATACATTGAAAAACAAAGTCTCCATAAAACATGTCCTCACTCACTTTGGCCCCTTCGCTGTCTGCAGCAGCTGCCATCAGGTCATCATTGATGTGCTTGCTGCAGTGCTCACAGGTGCACTCAAAGTAGAAATGCTCCTTCAGCTTCTTCTGGCGGTCAGCAGACAGGTTGAGGGAGTCCACATAGCTGACGGTCAGCTCCTCACCCTCAGCGATTTTCCTAAGAGCCCGCAGCTCAATCCTGGGACAGAAGAGGACAGGATTAGCTCTGAGGATCTGAGATGCATGTTTTATGGTACCAGCCTACAGGGTTTGGATACACTGAACCCTACATCAGAGCACATCAGCTTTTATAGAGTAGATGTCATACAGCAGGTCATTGCTGTCCAGTGAAACCTACACACAATGTGTACACAAGTATTATCAGGAAATATTATCTATTCAACAAGCCTGAAACATATTCTTCTCAGTTACTGAGCTCTTGACATTTGTTGAGCTGTGGTTTTCATCAGGCCCATCATCTGAATGAAAACATGATAGTACAGGATAATGTCTATTTATATGTTCAAAATGGCTCTCAAGCATACCCTGATCAGCCACAACTTTAAAACCGATAAAAGGCGATCATCTCATTACAATGCAAGTCGTGCATTTATGAAATATTACATGGACACATAGCACCTACCTAAACATTGCTGTGGACCATTGAGGCTCCACCTAGCAAACCATAGGACCCAGAGTTTCTGCTGCCCGTGTCCTGGTGTCAAACACCACAGGACACTACCTTTTTTTTGGTTTTGTTTAGTTTTTTCTGTTTTTTTTAGTCATATATTACTAAGTAAACAGTGCATTTGTTGGGGCCTATTTTCATGCTAGAACCTGCATGACCTGAGGATCTAGCAGGCCACAACAAAATGCTTGAAGGGGAAGCAGTTCCTGTGGCACTTCCGTTGCGTGACTGGATATGCAGGGTTTTCTTTTTCCATTTGTTTTCATTTATGCAGTGCGTCTGTGTATGCAGCGTGTGTCTGTTTATGCAACGCATTCATGTATTTGCAGCTCATTTATGTATATGCATGTCATTTGCCCCGTCAGCCACTGTAATAAACAGATAGGTTTAACACACGCATTTCTTTAGCGTGGACAGTGCATCTGGATCAGGTAGCTTTTTCATTAAAGACACTTTACAACCACATCATGACAGGTTGAGGTGGTGATCTGTGATACGTACCTCCTCTGAGAGTGGAGAGCAGAACTTAAAGCTGACTGGCTGCAAAAGAAAGTGACAGGCAATTAATTTAAACTTTTGTGTCTTACACTGGCCTTCTATTTAAAAGCAACAAAAGTCAGTGTGTTCCACTAAATCAGTGGAAATCTAGTTTTATTGCTGTACCTCATGCAGCGCTCACATAATATATAGTTTTATGTAAAGCTGTACTAACTTAAATTGACACTTAGAAACTTGACAGCCAAACAGTGTTATCCCAGTACAAGAGTACCTGGGGTTATTGGGAATAATAAAACTACCATGTGATTACTACAGTTTTGTTATCCCATAGTGGTCTTCTTGTCAGCTGTCACTCACAATAATAACAATACAGAGAAAAAAAGGTAGAAATTACAGTGTGTCAACAATGTAACGGCTATTTCCAATGTACAGGAACAGCTTGGATACTTACTTTCCATTGTTGAGGATGACGGTGCAGTTGGGCCAGCAGTCATGGTTGGCCAGACACAGGTTGGGGAAAAGACCCACACCAACGGCCTGCAGACCTCTCTGGTCACTCAGTGTAAATCCATTACACTTGATCTACAGAAACAGGGTGCAGGAAGGGAGCCGTGGGTTGTAAAGATGCTTTGGCTAGTGCAGTTTAAACACTCAACTTAGGTGCATGATAGTGAAAAATGAAACAAGACTAACAATCCCAAAGATGTGTGAGATGTAGTCGACAGAGTGCTGCTTCCTTCCGTAAGACCAGTATTCCAGGAAGTTGTGCACATCAGTCTGGAGCTTTTTGAGTTCTTCTTGGGACATGTCGGCCACATGGTCCTCCAGCTGGTCCACTGAGACCAGCTGACTGTCTGACACAATGCCTGTGTCCTTGTGCATACGCCACAGCACACGAGCTGCCAGGCTGGACAGGGGGATATGGATAGATATGAACCAGTTAGTGTGGCCACTGATTAAATCCTACACTTACCCTACAAAACAATTGAATAGGAAATTGTAGTCCATTATTGGACTGATTGTAATCCAATAATGGTCAACATCTGTGTGCTTTTTCTAATGAGTTTTATTAGTCGATTGACTAAATGATTCATTTACTTGTTTCATGTGCAAGACTCTTGGAATAAGAAATATTATTATAGCATGTATATGACCATGTAGGACAATAAACGTGGCAGACAACACATGCTCTAGAAATCCATCCATCCATTGTCTATACACCGCTTAATCCTCACTAGGGTCGCAGGGGGCTGGAGCCTATCCCAGCCGACTTAGGGCAAAGGCAGGAGACACCCTGGACAGGTCACCAGTCTATCACAGGGCTACACTTAGAGACAGACAATCAAGCACACTCACATTCACATCTACGGACAATTTAGAATCACCAATTAACCTCAATGTGTTTTTGGACCTTGTGGGAGGAAGCCGGAGAACCCAGAGAGAACCCACGCTGCACGGGGAGAACATGCAAAAAACACGCAGAAAGATCCCCGTGCCCCCACCGGGACATGAACCTTCTTGCTGTGAAGCAACAGTGCTACCAACTGTGCCACCTTGCAGGCTGCTCTAGAAATGATGTTCACATTTACATAATAGAAAGTTTATAAAGTTTGTCATGGAGATAAGATCTTTAGCTGAGGTTCAGGAGCAGGACCA